TATTATTTGCAGAACCAAGGATTGAACTCAGGCCCTTGCGCTTGCCAGAGAAGCGCTTATTCCCCTGAGCCATCTCCCCGGCCCCATTGAAATGTGTTTTAAATTTGATTAAGTCCATTTCATAATTTTTTCTTTCATGGATTATGCCTTGGTGTCCTAGCCAATAATTATTTGCAAGAACCATGGAAACAAAGATTTGTTCATATGTTTATTAACATAGGTGGACGGTGGCTCTTCCCATTGTAGGTAGGTCTCAGGAACTTTTAGAGGAAAATGGCTTGGTGAGCACTGCGTGAGCAGGGGACAGCTTGGCTGTGTGGAACTTACAGAGAGAACTGAAACATTGGTGCTATTAGGAAGCTGTTGGTAGGGTCTGCTCCTTGCTGAGAGGGCTGTAGAAAGCCTTCTTCAAGCTTAGGTTGCAAGTGTTCTTAGGGACTATGCATTCTGACCTATGGCTGAGCAGAGTTCTATTAGGAGTTTGCATGCCCATCCCAGTGACCCTGATGCAGCTGGCAATAACAGGAGAGCCCCTTTCTTCCTCAGTTTCCCTTCAGTGTCTTCTTGAGAAAGCTAAGTAGTCTAATGTTATTTTAAAGTGGAAATGCTCAGAAGAATTCTTTTATCACAAAGCATATGTTGAAGGATGAATCTGGGTTTAAGAGGCAATAAATTCAGCTCATGTGGTGTTGCACACCTGTAATTTTTGCCCTCAGGAGGCTGAGGCAGGCTAGTCATTGGCTTGAGACCACCCTGGGTCACATAGTGAGTTCGAGGCCAGCCTGGACTACTTAGAGATCTGCTTTCAAACTTTTGAGGAATTGTATAAGAGACCTCTTTCCTCACAACTATATGAGTCTGTGAATCATATGTGTAATGAAGTTTTGCTTTGGTTTTGGCAGTACTAGAGATTTGAACCCAAGACCTTCACATTGAGCTGCACCTCCAGCTTTTTATTTTTATTTTTAAATTTTGAGTCAGGTTCTCACCGAGTTGCCCAAGTAGGACCTAAACTTGTGATCTTCAGATGCTCTTGAGTGCTGGGATTCCAGGTGTGTGACACCATTCCCGGACCATAGCATGGAACCACTGGACAGAATTCCACCTGTACCCTTCACGTGGTTACTTGAGCCAACTCACTGTGTAGTGCTTACAAACAGTGATTCCAATTTCCATGCTGTGAAGAAAGATGTAAGTGACTGTGAGAGTTGTGTAGGACGCAGGATAGTGTGTTGTCATGACCTGGAGGACAAGGAGCTTATAGTAAGTGACAGTTGCAGTAGATGTTTTTCTCAAGGAGACCTTGTGATATAGAGTAATGTAAGATTTTTTTACCATTGGTTTACAATGAATTAGGTTATAATACTTACCAAAGGGGATTGTAATAAAATAATGGACATAAATTACTATTTAATAGCTCATTGGTTATAAATAATACAATCATGTAACTCTTTTGTGTTCCAGAAACCTTTTTCCAAGGACAAAGGAGCTTAAGTCAGTTGTTCATAGTGCCCCTGGTTGGAAATTATTTGGTAAAGTCCCTCCCCGAGAGAATCTTCAGAAAGCTTCCAAGATCATTCAGCAGGTAAGTACCAAGAGCGCTGTAGTTTTCATACCTCTAAATCGTTCTTTTTAAAAAATTAACAATATATCTTCATATTTACTTTTGTATATAAATTTAGGAATTATGGTGGTTTATAACAGTTGTCTTTATTTTTTAAAATAGGTATAATATTTTCTACCTATCATTCTTTTCTTCTTTAAATGTATTTTGTACAGGGTCTCACTACACAGCTTGGACTGGTAGTGATCTTCCTGTTTTCAGCCTCTCCAGCGCTGGGATTACAGCCGTGCGCCACCATGCCTGGACTTCTACTTATTCTAAAACTTATTTAAAGCAGTGCTGGTGAATCTATGGCATATGTGCCGTAGGGGGCTGTTTGTTATTGAAAGCTCTAAAAGTTTTGCCATCACTGCTTTAAAATAATAGAACATTTGGTAACATTTGCTAAAGGCACAGATTATTTTATAGAGCAAAAATGAAGAACATCTGATTGAATTCCTTCCTTTGTCCCTTGTCCACTATTCTGTCTAAACGAAGGACTTTGTAAGTGAAAAAGTTGCCACACAGTCTATCTGTAGTAATTTGCAGCCCAGTTCTGCCAATACTCATGTCAGCCAATACCCATATTCGTGTGTTCTTAAGCCTGTCACAGCTTATTTGACTCCCAGAGTTGTACTCTTCGGTATTTAATCAGTGAGACTGCAGAGCAGCGACTCTGGATCAGTTTGCAGTGTTTCGGCTTTAGAGGAATTGTTGCTGAGAAGAGGATATAAGATCAATTCTTATTTTTCTCCTTTCCATACTTTACCAAATTTAACATAAAGAGTATCTATAAAAATAATCATGTTGAGGGGTGAGGGAAGGGAGGGAAGTAGCTCAGTGCACAGTGCCTGCCTAGCAAGCTTGAGGTCCTGAGATTGATTCCCAGTACCAGAAAAAAAAAAAAGATGTGAGTGTTGGGCTGGCCAGATAGCTCAACAGATTAAAGCTCCTGCTTAGGCAGACACAGGGACTAGCGTTCAATCCCTGGCTTACTGTGCTGTACCACCCCCAGCCCCAGGCGTGCTAAGATGGCGACTAAGGGTACGCACCTGTAATCCCAGTGCTTGGGAGGCGGAAAACAGGAGGATCACTATGAGTCCTAGTGAGACCCTGTACTAAATACATTTAATAATAATAATAGGGGCCAGGGAGATGGCTCAGTGGATTAAGCGCTTCCCTGGTTAGTGTAAGGGCCTGAGTTCAATCCCTGGTTCTGCCAAAAAAAGAAAAAAAAAAATCATAATAATCACCTGGGGCTGGGATATAGCTTTCTAGAACAAGTGCCTGCCTGGCAAGTGCAAGGACCAGAGTTTGAGTCCCAGTACAAGAAAATAATAATAATCACATGAAGGTAATAATCATTTTCAAAGTGGAAAAAATATTTTTCTGTAATGATTTAATAGTGTTTTTATTGTTCAAAAAAGAAAACCAAACAGGTTTCCCAGATGACAATGATATATATTTTTTGGAACTGAATAAATTTTATTTTATTTTTTTTAGTTAATTTTTTTTCATAATTTTATTGAGAAACAAATAGCAGTGAGACAGTTTCAAACCAAATTGGTAGGACAGTTTCAATAATTAACACATTAC